CTCAGCATTCTAGCTGGCGCAGTGACCGGACCATTCCCAACTTTTTCCCTCCTATTGAGGATACTGCATTGTGTGCTTTACAAAAGAATATTGACCTTCTCGAGGTGAAGGAGAGTTTATTTAATATTGGGGGTCTTAAAGCTCCTGGTGTGGATGGATTCCCTGCGTGTTTTTTCCAAAGCCAGTGGAATACTTGCTCACAAGACATCTTTGATATGGTTTCTCAAGCTTTCAGGGATTCTCAAATCCCTGAAGGACTAAACTCCACCCTCATCACCCTTGTCCCCAAAGTGGATAAACCTCAAACAATGTTGCAATTTAGACCTATTAGTCTATGCTGCACTCTTTACAAAGTTATCTCCAAGATTCTGGTCTCTAGACTCCGCCCCATCTTGCTTGAGCTAATTAGTCCAAACTAGGTCAGCTTTGTGCCTGGTAGACATATTACTGACAACATCCTTATAGCCCAAAAGTTGATGCATAAATTCAAAAGCTCCAAGGGGAAGAAAGGCTTTATTGCTTGGAAGATTTACCTTTCTAAAGCCTATGATAGATTGAATTGGCAATTTCTTGAAACTGTGCTGATGGAACTGAAGCTACCACACTCTATTATTAAATTAATCATGCACTGTGTTTCCTCCGTTAAGTACCAGATCTACTTCAATGGTGAGTTATCTGACTCATTTTCCCCCAGCAATGGCATTAGGCAAGGAGACCCTCTGTCTCCTTATCTCTTTGTTCTATGTATTGAAAAATTATCCCATATAATCCTTGAGGCTGTTAACAAGAAAAGCTGGAGACCTATTAAATGTTCTAATTCTGGACCTGCTGTCTCCCACCTCTTCTTTGCGGATGACTTGGTTCTCTTTGCTGAAGCCAACCCTCACCAAGCCAGAGTGATGAAAAAGTGTATTGAGTTATTCTGTGATGCTTCGGGCCAAACTGTTAATTTTGATAAGTCTGCAATCTTCTGCTCTCCTAACACCTGCAAGGAGGTTGCCCAGGAGATAAGTTATATTTGTGGCTCTCCCCTCACTGATAATCTAGGGAGGTACTTGGGTATGCCCCTTTTACATTCCAAAATTAAAAAATCTACTTATGCCAGTTTGATTAGCAAGGTGCATGCTAGACTAGCCGGCTGGAAAGGCAAACTTCTGTCCCTGGCAGGGAGAGCTACTTTAATTCAGGCTGTCACCTCTGCTCTCCCTGTGTATACTATGCAAACTGTGAAGCTCCCTATTAGCATTTGTGAGGAGCTTGATCGTCTAAACCGTAATTTTTTTTGGGGGGGTGGTGATAAAAAATAAAAGATCCACCTGTGTCAATGGAACCTCGCTTGCAGCCTAAGAGCAAAGGAGGCTTGGGTTTCAAAAGAACCCATTGGCTGGAGATTGCATTGTAAAGATGAGGGTCTTTGGACCAAAATCTTCGAGAATAAGTACCTCAAAGGCCAATCCATTCTTGAGCCTTCTGTGAAGATGCGACAGGACTGTTCTTCGACCTGGAGAAGTGTTCAGTTTGGGGCTGATTTGTTGGGGAAAGGTATGACATGGAGACTTGGAAGAGGAGAAACTATGAAATTTTGGAAAGATAATTGGGTTTCAGAGGCACCCTTAATGCACCACGAGATGGTCCTACCGCCCACTGATGTTGACTCTACTGTATCAAGCTTCTTCAAAGATGGTTGGTGGGATGTGGACAAACTTCGCAATGCTCTACCCGAGGCTATAGTCCATAAAATTATCAGTCTCTCTGTGAGCTTTAGTGGGACCCTTCAGGACCGCCAGATCTGGAGATGCACTTCTGATGGGATCTTCACTGTAAAATCTGCCTACAATCTGCTCTTCAATGGTCTTGACTGGCGTAATCCCTGGTGGAAGGTGCTGTGGAAGATGAAAATCCCCCCTAAATTGCAATATTTCTTTTGGCTGGTGTAATAAAACAAGGTCATCACACCCTATGTGGGTGAGTGGGAGATGTAATAAAACAATGATTATGCACTAATCCTTGTTTTATGGCACTACACAAATTAAGGCACTTAGCCTTGTTTTATGGCACTACACTAATCCTTGTTTTAAGGCACTAAACCTTGTTTTAAGGCACTACCAACTTAAGCACTAGTGTATGTTTTATGCTCTCTTGAGATGAGCTAAAACAACTCCTATAAATAGATGGAGTGTGTGCAAGTGAAGAAGTGATGAGAAGCATTAGTGCATACTCTCTAAGTTGGTGTGTGTGAGACAAGAAGTGTGAGTGCATATCAAAGAGTTGTAGTGAGTTTTACACCCACAAAGAGAGAAACCTCATATCTCCCTAAACACTCTCCTTTAGGCAATTCACCAAGAGCCTTGGTCTTGGGTACGTGGAATCAATGGAGTAACTTTCATAGCCAATCCAACGACCTTGGAGACGAAGAACGTGTAGAATCTTGTTGGCGTGTTCGTGACGTGGAAGCATCTCGGCGGGCTAGTAATTGCAAGCGGTTTTTCACTTGGAATCTTCCGCAAGGTATGCAGTACCTTATTCCGAATATATATTAACGATAATTAACAGCTGGCCTACCAAGAAAAATTTTTAACTAATGAGCAGAGGGTTAAACGACACCTTGCAAGTGATCCTGCCTGCCTGGCTTGTGGTGAAACAGTTGAGTCTGTAACCCACATCCTCAGAGACTGTTCAAAGGCCAAACAGGTTTGGGTTTACTTATTGGAGCCTAACCAGACTATCTCTTTCTTCTCCACTAACCTTCAAACTCGGATTTTAAATAATTTGTGCTCCAGGGCCTTGTGGCATAGGAACTTGCCTTGGAATATTGTTTTTGTTTTCTCCTGGTGATTTATCTGGAAATGGAGAAATAGCCACATTTTTAATTCGAACGAAGATGCGCCTTCTTTGCCAAAGGAAACTATTATTACTGCTGCTACAGAGTGGGTCAAGGCTTCCTGTACCGCCAGTAAGGTTTCCAAATTGCATCTTATACTGTCTTGGGTACCTCCTAGAGATGGTTGGTTTAAACTGAACATTGATGGTTCTAGGAGAACTGCCTCAGGAACTATTGGTACTGGGGGAGTCATCAGAAACTCAAACGGTGATTGGATTGATGGATTTGCAATAAACTTGGGAACTGGCCAGGTGTTAGAAGCGGAACTGTGGGGGCTCTTCTTTGGCATTAAATTGGCTGTACAAAAAAGACTCTCCCAGCTCACCATTGAGATGGACTCCTCTGTAGCTGTTAATCTAATGAAGAAATCTGACTTCCCTCAGGATCACCCCCTTGCTGGGTTACTTTCTGGTTGTCTTAGCCTCATGAGGCAGATTGGGAATATTGAAATCAACCACATCTATAGGGAACAAAACTCTGTTGCTGATGGACTAGCAAACTGGAGCTATAACTTGGACTTAGACAACTGCGACCTGGACGAGCCCCCTACTTGGATCACACCAGCTGTAATTGATGACTTGTTGTAAGATGCGCCTAGTTTCTATTTTGTAATTGTTTTGCTTTGGGGGCTTGTCCCCACCCAGCTTACCAAAAAAAAAAAAGAATCCCTTTTAACCCATAACCAGTCAATATAATAGAATATATTATAATAGATGTTTTTTTTTATGAAATAAAGGGTTTTTTTTTTTAGCTTTAGACTTTTAAATATTGCCCCTCCTTTAAAAAAAAAGTCTGGATCCGCCACTGCACGCAGGTCCTTTTGCTAGTTCACCCTATAAGCGAGAGTGGTTGGCAAGGGTGGCAATTTCCGACTCGACCCGTTACACGACTTGAAACCCACGCAGGAAAAACACGACACGAACACGACCCATTTATAAACGGGTAATTTTCGGGTCAACCCGCCACTGACCCATTTATAAACGGGTGGATTTCGGGTCAATCCGCCAACCCGTTTAATTACCTGTTTAACCCGTTTAACAAACGGGTCGTGTTACTACCTGCCAACCCGCGAAAAAAATTAAAGAAATTGAACCTTCAGCACACCCAATGGGTTTCGAACCCCAGTCAATTCCACCCCTCTCCTTGCTCCTTATCCATCTTGGTGTTGATAAATTTGTGATTATATGTTACAACATTTGATATTTATAATGTCTTTACAAACTGATGAGCACTTAATTATTACATTTTTATCCCTAAATTATATTTGTTAGTAATTATTCCTTATTATTTGAATTAATTATGCATCTAGGGTTTAGGGTTTAACATTTTAATCCCTAAACCCTAAACCCTAAACCCTAAACCCTAAACTCTAATCCCTAAACCCTAAACCCTAAACTCTAAACTCTAAACACTAAACTCTAATCCCTAAACCCTAACCCTAAATCCTAAACCCTACCCTAAACCCTAAACTCTAAACTCTAAACAATAAAAACTCTAATCCCTAAACCCTAATCCTAAACTCTAAACCCTAAACTCTAAATCCTAATCCCTAAACTCTAATCCCCATAAACTCTAAACTCTAAACTCTAATCCCTAAACCCTAATCCCAAAAGAAATTTCGTATAACTTATAAAATTTGTATCATATCACTTTTTTAGCGGAGGTGCAATATTGACTAAGTATGAAAAATGGTTTTTCGGAATAATCATTTTCTCAAGATAATTTTTGGCGGTTTTTATTCCTTACACATCAAATAAGAAAACTTGATTTTATGGGATTTTAGTATGAAGTATATATTGACTTAATGAGCCATCATTTTTAGCCTAAATCGTATTTTGCATTAAAACTGATTTTTCATATTTTGATTTGGTGGGAATTTGATTTTCTAGTACTTTATTTGAATCCAAATGGGGGGTACTTCCTTATTTACATTATAAACTTAAGTAAATGGAGAAATATAAAAATAAATGAAAGTAAAAGGACAAAGACTTAAGTTATAGTACAAAACTCATTTACCTTACAACCCAATAACCTGCTTACAACCCGATTAAAACCCTAGGTCAGCCCACATATATAAGGTAAAATTTCTCTCTATCTCTATCACATTCCAAAACCTAAAACTCACAGCCGTCATCTCCTTCTTTTCTCTCTCCCTCTGTCTGCATCCCTCACAATGGTCCCCTGCCTCACACAAAGGCTTCTCCCTCTCGTCTCTCCCTCCCATCCTCTGCATCTCTCAGTTCTTACATTCAGGGTGGTAGATGTGATCCAATGAAGATGCGACAGGAAAAAGCACGATTGGAGAGGAGGCAGCATGAAGGTAAAGCTGGCTTTGTTTCTTCCTTTATTCTTTGCCATCATTTTGGCTTTGAAGATTCTTAATTTTATAAGAATGCAACCAATAACTTTGTTTTTCATATTTATAACTTCTTGCGTGGATGTTATCTCTTTTGGTGCCTTTGTGGTCTTAATTTGTTGAGTGTCCTTATCCAGATGCAAAGAACGGTTGAGATTGATCCAAACTTGAAGATCCTAGAGGAACTTGAAAGATTAACTGGATTCTCTCCATCCCAATCTGCCGAGTGCTCTAATACCATCATTAACAATGGTGGCTGAATATTTGAGTTGGGAATGTGATGTTGTATTTTATGTTGTAATTTAATCAAAGTTTTTTTTTGTTTATGTTTGATTTGGATTTTAGAGTGACTTTGAAGTTTTTAATTTTATTGTCATTTTGGAATGTTTGATTTGGCAGAATATTTGATAGAATTTAAATTTGAAGCAAGCAGGTTATTAAACAGGTTATTATGTTATTAAACAGGTCATTAAAGAGGTAGTTTACCTGTTTATGACCTAACCCAAGCAAGTTAGTAAACAGGTTATTAAACAGGTAGGTTACCTGTTTATGACCTAACCCAACCTGTTTAGTAAACAGGTCATAAACAGGTCGTGTCGTGTCAACCCGTTTATAAACAGGTTGGGTTTGGGTTTGCATTTCCTAACACGATTAATAAATGGATCGTGTTTGGGTTGGGGTTTCTTGACACGTTTAAAAGTTTGACACAACATGAACCCGACACGACATGACCCATTGCCAGCCCCAACAGCCCCTCCAGTTGAAATGAATCCGCTTCTTCATTTATTACTCTATTTACCACTATATTAATTTGAAATATATACTTGCAATTAATCACATCATCTGCCCATTACTCCATAAAAAAAGAAAAATAAATAAATGAAGAAAAATTGCTACCTCTTCTCTTTCAGGCCAATAACTTGCCCTTTTTTTTTCCCTTTCACTTTATTGTCTTGTTGTGCACAATTTGCCTTTTTTTTTTCCACACCTTTCACATTAGTCAACATCTACTACCCAATATTCATCCCTTTGTCTCTCTTTCCCCATCTCAAAAGTTTTTTTTTTCTTTTTGTCCAAGAGTAAAAGGATCATTTCACAAAGGGATTAGGTCTTGAAAAGCAGTGGCCAATCCTGGCCATAGGATTTCTTTATTGAGCTCCTTGATAAGAAAAAGACTCAGGCCACTCTTGACTTGGTAATCAAGCATAAGCCTCGTATTAGGAGTTTTTTTCTTCTTCAAATGATTGTGCATTTTTACCAATGGTTTTAAACCTATACAAGTAAAAATATGTTTTTAAAACGGTACAAGTAAGAATACTTTATTTAAAATAATACTTCTTGAAAAGAAAAAGTCCTTTATTATTTTTTGGTAACATTAACAATGATTCTTATTGAATTTACAGTTTCGAAGCATGAGTTTCTCTTTTCGTTTTATTCCTTTTGTTCTTTCACAAGGTAGCTAGTTTCATCAAGCATTCTCTGCTTTCGTCAATAACTTCATTGAAGCTAATGGCAAAGCTGATGCAATACAATTCCTTGTTGAGCCCATCTAAGATTTCAAAGCAAGTAACAAATTTTATAGAGCTCGGAGAATTACGGAAACTAGCAACATCATGGAAAGGGCACCAGACGAGTTTGATGACATCTTTTCATTTTGGATGAGGAAATGGTGTTTGTATGCTGAAATGAGAAACAGTTTCATTGAAACAGACTGAAAGATTTTGACTAGAGATTCTGAAATGACGAAAAGGCAGAGGTAAAAAAGTTTTGTTCACTCATAACTTCATCTTTATCTCCATCTTGGGTAAAAGTTGCAAAAAATTAATGTAGCCATCATCAGCTTTCTCTGTTGTAACATTCAATCAACTAGTCCCAATTTAATAATTCAGTAGGAACACTGCATGCATTAATAAAATATGCTAGTGGGCAGGCCACACTTTTTTTTAATATTTTGGGTCAAGGCTGCCGACATTTTCTTTTTTTGTATTTTCGCTTCTTTCTGTTCCTTTTCTCTTTCATTGTCCTCCTTTTCGGGTCAACGTTCATCATCTTCTTCTTCTTCAGAAAACCCAAACTCGTGGGTACTATTCATTAGTCAAGAAGTCTGATTTCGAAAGCTCAAATCAGCAAAGTTCCTTCATCAAAGTTGTTCGTCTGTTCGAATACTATATCATACCCAAACATGAGCATCATCAGACGGGTCTAGCTACCTCGAAAAGCTTGTTTCTGCAGCTCGGTTTTCAACAGTTTTCTTTAATCTCCAGTGCTCGTTTGACAAAACGACCTTCTCTAAGGTTGTTCCTCAGTTTGAGAACTATGACATATCCAAAAATCAGAGCAATCCAACTACTCTAGCTATGTCTGTGGTAAGCATGTTCGTCACTTCCTCAGATTCTGTTATTATCACTGTACAGTACCTTATTCACTCTTGTATGTCACTTTATTCAACGGCTCAGATGACAATACTTCCTTCATGAAGGTCGTTCAAAAGTCTTTTCGGCAGTGGTACACCTGAAACAAGCTTTTGTTAGTTTTCAAGTGTTGTTTGAGTTGGTTATTTTATTTCTCTTTGGGAGCTTCACCCAGTATTTCGGACCAATATTAAGGTAAAGTTTTAAGATGCTTTTATTTCTGGAAATTTGTGTCTGAGTTGTTGGCCCAAGCCAGTTTTGAAAATGGAAGGACCAAAAGATAATTTAAAATAAGTATAAGTGCCAAAGTGCAAACAAAGGAAAATATAAAAACCAAAGTGAAATTATGGATAAGTCTGAAGACTGAAATGTATTGGAAAAAGTATAGGGGCCACGCCACAGTAAAAAATATATGGGAGATTCACTAATATACCTAATATAGGAGCCCAAATTATAAAAATACCCTATATAAAATGGATTTTAGAAATACACCCAAAGCTCATTTATAACATAACAAAAAGGCTTTTAACTTCTTTTAAATTACAAAACTGCCATTGATTTCTCAAAACAAACCCAATCCCAAAATATATAAACAAGCCCAAAATACTTAATAAGACATCAAAGTAATTTAATAATCAAAATTAAATTCAATATGGCCAATTGTCATTTTTTTGGTTTTTTTTGGGTTTGTTTATAGAAATTAAATGGTGTAGGGTTTATTTATAGTTTTAGTGTTAAGAATGGGTATTTGACTAAATATCTCAAAATATATATACATCGATCTTTATTTCTGGCTTTATTTCTCTAGTATTTGTAGGTAGTTGTTGTATGGCGTTAGTGAAATACTGAGCATTCGGATTGTGGATAGTGCTAATTTGCTGCTAACTTCAGGTTTGTTTTTCTCAGACATTTTAAATTTCAATTACCGACTACCTCTTGGCACAGACTTATGCGTTGGCTAGTTGACTTTTGTTTTTTTGTTTTTTGTTTTTTGTTTTTTTTTTACTATGAGTGAGAAATTAAATAGTGCTCGTTTGACATTGATTATTTTGATAAAAATCACTTTCTTTGACAACAAAGTGTTAGAGTAAATATACATTTATATATAAAAGGGTTGCCATAACTATTGATGACAAAAACTAGCATAAACTATACAGAAACTGCTTCTAAATTCTTTGAAACCACTGTAAAGCTGATATATATTGCAAAGAACATTTGATTTGTAAAAAAAAACCTATGCATGCTAAACTTTTATTTTAGGGGTTAACAAAAAAGTGGTGGGCCTGTTTGGGAGTGCTAAAAGTGCTTTTTAACAAACAAAAATACTTTTGACAGCTTTTGATATAAAATGTTATAAGTGTTTCTAGGTTGTGGAAGCGCTTTATGGAGAAGAACCTACTATGTGCTTTTTCATAAAACACTCATAAGTGCTTTTCTAGGAAGCAATTGGATTATTTTATGAAAATTTAACATCTTTATAATAAAAGCGCTTTTGCCAGAAGTGCTTCCTAGAGAAGCAGTCCCAAGCAAGTGTTAGAAGCATTTCTTTCCAACAAGCAGGTTAAGGGTTTTAGTACCCTTTGGCGCATACTTTTTGAAACATTCTTCACAACCAATTCCGTTTGATTTGTTGACCAAAGCCAAAAATTAAGTGAAAAATCCAAACCAACCGATTCGGTTTGGTCGGTTTGGCAGTTTATCAATTTTAAATTGCAGCCCTAGGTGAAATGGAATATGGGGCGACAACTATGGTGAGATAAGAGGGTGGGAGCCGCGTCTGGAAGTTAGATTGGGGTAGGGGCTGTTTGGCCTCGTAGCCTAGCATGGGTTGGGGGTTCCCCTTGAGGTGGGCGATGTCCCTTTAGAAGATAGAGTTAAAATATTTTTTCTCATTTTTTAAATTCTTCTTTAAAAACAATCAAGGGAGCTGACCCTTGGGGGCTTTAGGTTGCTTTGCCTGGGCCTTGTTGCACACACGCATACTTGTATGGATTAATCGCAAACTCAATAATACACGATCTACTCTTCAGACAAATAGGGTGCCTAAGATTTAAGGACTAGTATTCCTTATTGCGAATTAATATTCTTGTTTGACATATAAGTACAACTTCCACAAAAGAACTTTTGATTGATCGCATTTAGTAAATTCACCATCTATCGAGAACATGCATACTTTTCTTAGTATCTCTACATGAATGACTACAGAACAATCATCCTTCTATTTAACCAAACATAAGATGCCCCAGTTTTTATGGATTATCAATACTCAATTAATAATCCTATGGCTATGAACTATATTGACTATGAGGATGAGAGAGCAAGGTCTCATGAATCTAATTAACTTTTTTACTCTATCTATTTCATATCCATTGGACTATTGTTTAAGCATAGAACTATTAATAGGAATATTTCAATCAGTAATGATCTCGTCATTAATTTAATTTAATTTCTAAGAGCATCTATAATCATGCTCTCTACTTTTTAGTTAAAATATAGCTTGAAACACACAAAAGCTATTTTAGGATCTCTCTATAAAATTTGAACTCTAATCATAGTCCCTAGTTTAGGGAGTCATAAATACTATAAATATTTTTTATTCAATATAATTGGTCAATCTCTATAAATAAAATAAAATAAAAATAGTTAGTATTAATTAAAAGTTTAAAATATGCATAAAACAAAGAGGCATTAAATTATAGGGAGCCACTAGGAGTCCTTTTTCTCTTCTCAGATTTAGGAGCTCCTAGAGGTCTCCCTATTTTAGGAGGTGGATAGGGAGCTTTGGTTGGAGAGTTGTATTTTTTCAATTCCTCTCAAAAATTTGTCTAAGAAGATGGTTTATGAAGTCCATTGTGGATGCTCTAAGTAAATATAGATAATATCCATAAAAGATTACATAAAATGATTAGGTTATATGAGATATTTCCCACACAATATATAGTGGAACAATATTTTAGGTGGCCCTATGAGTTGGGCTTGACTAAGCATCTATTAATCGTGTGTTTATGGCTGGCTCGACTGAACTCATTTTGGGAGTTTCACTAAAACACCCAAAATGGGGGCTGAAATTATAAAAAAAACCAACACCTAAAACACTTTATAAACACACCCAAAACCCATCATTACACACACTCAAAACCCATTTATAAACACACCCAAAAAATATACAATTGTTGATTGTGGGGTTGATTTTGGGTGTGTTTCTATGTTTAAATAGTCTTTGGGTTTTTTATAAATACATGTCTAAGATTGGGTTTATTTATAAATATCTAACTCATATTTTTTAAGAGAGCTTAGAGCATCTACAATGGACTCCCTAAAACACATTTTTAGACAAATTTTACGGATGAATTGAAAAATAGGGAGACCTCTAGGAGCTTGTAAATTTGAGGAGAGAGAATTTGAGGAGAGAGAGAGAGAGAGAGAGAGAGTCCTAGTGACTCCCTATAATTTGATGCTTGGGGGACCTATTAAGACGCAAGGAGGTGCATCTGCACCTTCCCTCGCCGGAAAAACAAAGTAAAAGTCTTTGTCCTTTTACTTTTATTTATTTTTGTATTACTCCATTTACTTTACAATGTAAATAAGGAAGTACCCCCCATTTGGATTCAAATAAAAATACTAGAAAATCAAATTCCCACCAAATCAAAATATGAAAAATCGGTTTTAGTGCAAAATACGATTTAGGCTAAAAATGATGGCTCATTTAGTCAATATATACTTCATACTAAAATCCCATAAAATCAAGTTTTCTTATTTGATGTGTAAGGAATAAAAGCCGCCAAAAATTATCTTGAGAAAATTATTATTCCGAAAATTCTTTTTTCATACTTAGTCAATATTGCACCTTAGCTAAAAATATTCTGGGTCCGCCATGCTCCCTTATTTTAATAGTATCTTAACCATTTATTTAATGTCAACTATTTTTTGTTGTTGCTTTTGTGTCTGCACTTTATTCAAAATTTTAATTTAAAAATATTAAAAATATTTATGACTCTTTAAACTAGGGAGTATGGTTGGAGTTGAAATTTGATAGAGAACTCCTAAAATAACTTTCTAGTATTTTTAGCTAAATTTTAATTTAAAAATATTGAGCATGATTGTAGGTGCTCTTGAACTCAAGTTTAGCCCGAGTTTATGAAATATTGAAAAATCAACCAAATGCAAATAAGAATGATAATATAGTATAACCCTAAAAGATTGATCGTCACTCTAAGGGAAAAAAAAAATCAATGAACATTTTTAAGTACACCTTGTATGCGTAATACGGTACAAGTTTAGATTGTGTTTACTGTATTTTATAAAATTACAATAATATGGTTACGTAGTAAATCTTGTACGCGTGTTACAATATAAGTATAGTCGAAATAACAGTGGGATTTATATAAAATAAACTCAACTCCAAGTAAATATTGATAGATAGGATAGGCCTCGCCCTCTCTACTTAAAAGTCTTAACTCAACTCCAATTATTAAAAAAGGAAGAAGATAACAAAAACGGACTATACTTATTTCTAAAAAGGACTACGTTTGCATGCATTACATGGTGCTTGGCAGCTTGCTTATAAATAATTTATGTAAAGTGAAATTAATCGGAGAATGAACCAATAATGATAATGATAACAATAGGGAATCTGCTGTTCAAGTCAGTAAAATCATCATCACGATTTAAGACCCAAGTAAAGCACTTGTGACATTTTAGACACTCTTTTCTTTTTTAGAGCAAGGCCGCCTAGATCGATGAATCCCTCTTAGTCAAGGTCTAAAATATCGATGATATCGAAAATATCGGTAGTTCAAAAATACGGAAATTTTAATGGAAATATCGGGATATTATCGATATTAATAAAAATTGAATAAAAACCACAGAAATTGTAAGAAAAACTTGAAAAAAATTATTGAAACTTTGGAGAATGTTTATTAATTTAGTCAATTATCTATTAGTTTATCACAAAAAATTAGAAGGAAATGTATTGCATGATGGATTTAAGTTGATTATACAGCGAGCTGCCAAACACTGTGAGTGTAGAAAATATGTAGTAATTAATGAAAAAAGATTAAACACACCATAATCATTTATATATAATAATTTACTACAATATTTTACACTTTATACATTGCATGATAAGATACATGAATGATTTAGTACCACATAGGGTTCCTATGAGGTTCAAAGATTTATTCTCATGTGAAAATTTGATTCTTGCAAAAAGAATTCAAAACAAAACAATATAAATATAAATATTTTAGCATATTATCACAAAAACATAAGTGATATGGTGGTTAAGGTGTTAGAGGAGTAAAATGGGAGGGGTTCAAATCCCCTTTGTGTTTTTTTTTCTCCCTTTTTTTCCCTTTTTCCCCCCTTCTTTTTCTTTTGTTTTCCTTTACATCAATATTTTCGATATTTTAGCGATATTACACCGATATTTTGATAAAATATTTCTGAAGTGTGAGCGAAATTATCGACATTGATATTTTCCGATATTGTCAATATTTATACGATATGTACATGGATATGTTCCAAAATATCCGTGATTCTTCGTCGATATTATCGATATTTCAGACTATGCTATGATTTAGGTCCTATAATTAATTTAAATTATTAAGACAGAAGAGAGAGAAAAAAGAAGAGAGAATCTAATCTAGGGGAACAACTGGTGTCAGTTAGAAAAAGAGGCTGCTATATTATCAGAGCCGGCCCTGGCCCAGGGCTACCAGGGCCACAGCTCGGGGCCCAAAATACAATGGGGCACAAATTTTTCTTAGTATATATATAACTAGGCCTGGGCGCGGATCGGTTTGGAACGGTAGAGGGCTCTTCCGTTAACCAAACCACAGACTTCGATAGACCATTTTCTCTTCCGTTAACCAAACCAAAGATTTCGGTAG